TAAAGAGCCCACCTCTGAGCACTGCTGAATTGAGGACCAGGCCTTCAACACATGAGCTTCTGGGAGGACATTTAAGACCCAGACCATAACAGGATTGGAAAACAGGTCTTTATTTAACATTTTGGTTGGTTGGTTAGTATGGGGATTGAACCCAGGGCCTCACATATACAAGAGCATGCACTGTAGCACTGAGCCAAGATCCCTCTTCTGTTTTAACTAAGCACTTATTACACACTGTGGCTGTAACTTTTGTGGGTTTAGCTATGACAGTAAAAAGCAACCACAAATTATTTTCTCCATCACAGTTTCACAGAGAGAACATTCGTTTTTATTGCAGATTTTAGCAACCTTGGCATACAAATAAGTAAGGGTTACTTGAATGGGAGCACTGCAGTACTATGACATTCAATCTGATAACTTAGTGATACTAAGACACTAACAGGTAGGTGGCTGTCCAACATGGTACACTGGATAAAGGGGTGATTCATATCCTGAGCAGGAATGTATTGAGATTTCACCACACTACTCAGAAGTAAACTCATGAGTTGTTTATTTCTAGGTTTTCCATTGGAAAGTGAAACCATAAAGGGAGATACCATATTGTGTAGCTATTGGTTTTAGCATTTCATAAATGCCGATTCAATCACTCACTGTAGTTGATAATATTAATTTCGTCTGTATCCATGCTAATTTTTTGTGTATAAGTTCTATGAATTACTAAGAAAATAATGTTCAAATTTTTAGTAGAAAATTACGTGTCTACTTTTAACTTTTTGTTTTTGTTTCTAGTATGTTGAAACTCTCTAGCCAGGTGCATATATATTTAGGATTCTTATGTCTTCTTGGTAAATCGGTCCTTTTATCTGTATGTAGTGCTCCTGCGTGCCTGGTAATTCTCAGTGAGGTCTACTTTGTCTAGTATTTGTGTAGCCACTCCAGCTTTTAAAAAAACCTTTATTGAGATATATAATTCAGATAATTCATATACTATACTATTCACCTATTTAAGGTGTACAGTTTTATGGTTTTTAGTATACAGTGGACCCTTGAGTTACGAGCTCAATGTGTTCATGAGGGCTGGTTGTAACTCAAGTTGGTTGTAAGTCAAAACTGTTTTTCCCGTAAGAAATAATGGAAATACCCATAATATGTTTTGAACTTCCAAAGCATCCCTTAACTAACCTTCTCATAATAAAAAGCATTGTATAATGTGCATAACCTACCAGAAACACCAATAATTTTCCTAGTGTATTCTCCAAAAAGTTATAAAATGCGCCTACTGTACTCACCATTCAAGTTGGCATCTTTGGCTTGCAGGAAGGGAGAGTGAAATGGAAGGTGGGTATTGTTTGGAAGGAGACTCCCCTTCCATAAGAACATCAGGAATCTCACTCTCTGGTGTCCTTTTTCTCCTCGGGAGGATCTGTAGCCCACTAGGACCTGCTTCTGGCTCATGAGATCTCAGCCTTTTCAGAAATAAAAACTGTTCTAAGGTTGTCTGTTTCTGTCTCTTCTTTAACACTGTTCTGTAGTACGACATGACATTGTTATTAAGCAAGTAAATGCAACTGTTGGCTTTTTGTTTGGGTGGGTCATCTCTACAAATCTTTGTAGCTGTGTCCACTTTTTCAGCATTTCCTTTATTTCAGAAGAACTTTGTTGCACTGATTGTTGATATCCCCCCTCCTCTTGAGAAAGCTCCTCAGCTGCTATTTTCTGTTGCTCAGCCAGAAGTTGCTGAAGTTTCTCTGTAGACGGTTCCTCTGACTGTTCCTCCACCAGTTCCTCAACATCATCACTATCTACCTGCAAGCCGCTGGACTCTGCTATAGTGACACTGACATAAACCATACCAGGGTTAATTGAAGGCTCAGACTTCTCTCTACAACCTTCAAAGTCCCTCTCCTGTATGATTTTAGGCCATACTTCCTTCCAGGCAGATCTTGACGTCCTTAGAGAGACATTGGCCCAGGATTTCTCAGTTAACCCCACCTAGAAAAGGATGTTGCAATGTTCCTTCCAGAGCTCTTTAAAGGTTAAACCTGAGACCATCTGGAAGCACTTCAGGAACAGTTCCTTCGTGTATAGCTACTTAAAGTTAGGTATAACCTGCTGGTCCAAAGGCTGTAGTAGAGGAGTTGTATTAGATTGGAGGAACTCAACTGAGAGCCATGGGAAATCTTCAGCAAATTTTTCTTCCAAATTGAGGGAGCAGGAGCATTGTCCATGGTGAGGAGAGCCTTGAGTGGTAAGCCTTTGTCCTCTAGATATTTATCAGTAGGACAAACAGCCTTCCTGATCCACTGAAGAAGTACTCTTGTTACCTGTATCCAGGCTTTTGCATTAGATCTCCACATGACCCCTAGCCTATTTTTCATGACTTTTATGTTTTTTGAACACTGTAAGGGTCTCAGAGTAATAAACCAAGAGAGGCTTTATCTTGAGTTTATCACTTGCATTGGTACATAACAATAAGGTTAACCTGTCCTTCATAAGCTTGTGGTCTAGCATTTTCTTTTTCCCTAGATAATGCATGTTTTTCTGGGATATTCTTCCAGAAAAGGCCAGTTTCATCACGGATGAAAACTTGATGAGAGCAAAAGCCATTTCTCTGTGTCGTCATTTCAAAGGGGTGTATGTAATTTTCAGTAGCCCTTATATCAGCACTGGCTGCTTCACCATGCCTAGTTACGCTGTGAACTTAAGTTCTTGCTTTAAAATTGTGAAACCACCCCTACTGGCATGAAATGTTTCACCATTATCACTTGTTGCTGGATTATCCTTTACGAGAGTTTGCATTTATAGCCCTAGCTTTTGCGCAAATTGTGAGCTCAGATAGGCTACAACCTGCCGTCTGCCTTTCATTTATCCACACTAATCACAATAGCCTTTTCTCCCTCTAATAATGCTGTACATGTATGCGAGATCAGCCACACACTTATCAATTGTGATGGCTTTCTTTACCTTCTCTTTCTTCCTTAGCTGCTTTTCTAGCTTTTTGGGGACCATTCTGTGCTTTATACAATCACTGTCTGAAATGTCCACAAACATGCACATCTGGGCGCAGACTGATTATGTGTGTGTACATATGCTTTTCTGGCATCATGAATCTTTGTTTACAACTGCACAAGTGGCCAGCATTTGGGTTGTAGCTCAATACTTTGGTCATAGGTTAAACCTAAAATTCCAGTTGTAACCCAAGTTATTCATATGTGTAGCTGGTTGTAACTTGGATGTTCCACTGTATTCCCAGAGTTGTGCAGCCACCACTAAAATAAATTTTAGGGCATTTTAATCAGTGCATAAAGAAGCTGTAGGCTGTTAGCAGTTCCTTCCCATCACTTTGCCTCTTCCCAACCTTCCCACTCCGTGCCATACCTCAGCCCTGGACATTCACTAATCTGTTTTCAGATTCTGTTAATTTGCCTCTCCTGGACATTTAATACAAATGGAATTACATAACATGTGGTCATCATCTGCGACTGGCCTTTATGACTTAGCCTAACTTACCGGTTATCGTCCATGTGGTTACATGTGTCAGGACATCATTCCTCCTCTTTTCTGCCAAATACCCCACTATATTAATATGCCATATTTTATTCATGAATCAGTTGAATGGCATTTGGGTTAATTCTGATCTTTGGCTATTGTGAATGTTTTCATTTTCTAGGTGTGTACCTAGGAGTGAAATGTTTGGATTATATGTTTAGCCTTTTGAGGACCTACTACACTGTTTTGTTTTCCAAAGTAGCAGCACCAACCTGGGTATGGTGGTGCGCACCTGCAGTCCCAGCACTCTTGAACACTGAGGCAGGAAGATCACAAGTTCAAGCCCTGGCTGGGGAATTTAAGTGACTTATGGAGACATTTTCTTGAAATTTAAAAGAGGGTAGGCAGAGACTAGAGATACAACTCAGTGCAAAGGCCCTGGCTTCATTTCCTAGTACTGCAGAGTGGCTGGATTGTATTGCAAAGTTCTCTTTCTGAAGTTCATTTATTTATGGCTCTTACTTGACTATACTGTAGGTTTAACTTAACTTCTCTAGACCTAGATTTTATTTTTTTAAGAGAACTGTCAAGAAAGGGTGGCTCATAAAACATTAGGTAAAACTTAATAGAAAGAAAAAATGCAAAAGAGTAAGTTTCAGAAAGTTATAAGTTCTTTCAAAACACTGTTTTAGAATTAAAATTCTGAGGTCTGCAAGTACCAGTTCAAGTTCACTATGGACTGTGGAGTTTTTTCCTGAGATCTCTGTTCCCTTGGTTTATTTATCTGTTTTTAGGTCAATGCCACTCTGTTTTGGTTACTTTGGCTTTGTAATATGTGTTGAAATCAGGAGTTTTGAAATCAGCTTCCATCTTGGCTCATTTTGTTCAAGATGATGTTAGCTACTTGGGTTTTTATGTGCTTCCATATGGATTGTAGGATTGTTTTTCCTAATTCTGTGACGAATGTCGTTGGTATGTTGATGGGGATAATGTTGACTATGTACATCATTTTGGAAGTAGGGACTTCCAGACAGTTTCATTCTTTGAATCCATGCACATGGTACTCCTTCCATCTTGGACTTTTCAGTTTCTTTCACTAGTGTTCTATGATTTTCATTGTAAGGATCTTTTACTTTAAATATATTCCTGTGTGCGTGTGTGTGTGCATGCATGTGTTTCTATTAAGAACATGATTAATTTCATGATTTCTTTCTCAGCAAATTTGTACTTGATGCATAGAAAAGCTACTGATTTTTGTATCCTGCCGAGTTCATTTATCAGTTCCAGTAGTCTTGGTAGAGGATTTTATCGAGGTTTTTTGCATCTGTGGTTTCTTTGTTGTTGTTGTCGTGTCCTATTCAGATTTTGGTAATACAATAATGCTGGCAGTGAGTGAACAATCTTAAAACAAATGAAGTTTAAGAGGCATGTCTGTGTTAACGTGAAATTAAAATAAGGCAATACGCTAACTTTGTTTGGAGTCTTGATTTTGATTTTATTTTTAATTATAGGTATTCCTTTTACAATGAGTTGCACAATTGAGAAGGCCCTTGCTGATGCTAAAGCCCTTGTTGAAAGACTGCGAGATCATGATGATGCAGCGGAGTCTCTAATTGAGCAAACCACAGCTCTCAGCAAGCGAGTGGAAGCAATGAAGCAGGTGTGATTTTTCTTTCTTGGTGATTCCATTTAACAAAAGCAGTTACTGTCGTCTATATATTGCTTGAATTGTAAACTACTGCTAAAGTAGGAATTTTTTGAAGTTCTCTTTTTAAAGTGACTTGATTTGTATGTTTTCCTTTAGGATAAAATTTTGTCATGGTGCCATATATATGTGTATATATTGTAAAACCTGTAGGGGTTGGTTTTTTATGTTTTTTTGGCATTCCTGGGGATTGAACCCAAAGGTATATACACTACCTCTAAGCAACACCCCCATCCCTTTTCATTTTTTAGTTGGAGGTAAGAGTCTCTCTTAAGTTGTTCAGGCTCGCCCTAAACTTGAGACTGCCTATCTCTGTGTCCCAAATAACTCAGATTGCAGATATATGC